TCCTGCCCTCTGACTTTGCTGATTGCCTTCTATGAAAGTGCTCAGTAAGATGTTTATTTCCGGTTACCTATTGGCTCTACTGCTGCCATGTATCTGTGTCACTTTTATACACAAATCACTTTTCTTGCACGCTCACAAGCTCATCCTCTGCCAACTCAGTCCCTCTCGTGCTTTTCCTAGAGCCTGTGTTTTTCTGCCTTGCAACTGTCACCCAGCTCAGAATTCCTTCCTGAGCTGGAGATTCAGCAAGGACATCTCTGACTGAGTGTCTTAACACACGTTACATTCAACGAACTGAAAGCGAAACTCATTTTCTGTCTCGTTTCCCCAGACTAACTTTTCTATCATTCCCCACCTGTACGGTTCATCAAACTAAAGCCGTCAGAGCTGGCCTCCTTCAGCTTCATCTTCAGCTGCGATCAATTCCTGCCAAGTGGCCTCCTTCCTGTCTCTTTTCTCTTCATTGCCCACTTCTACGCTCACTCCCTGTATTTCAGAGCAGTGGGATAGTTTTAAAGCCTCAGTTTTTTCTTCCACTTAGTTCAACTTCTAAAACTGATTCTCTATTTAAAATCTTTCAGATTGTTCATCCCTTATTTTTTTAAATTCTCGCCTCCCTTGAGGGGAGAACACAATTTTCCAGGTTCTAAGTTTTGTGGCAACTTTTTCTTACTTTTACTCATTGGCTTTACATACTTTCCACATTAATTCTTTCTTTCCCCCCAACCCCATCAGAACTTTCTGGCTTTGTGTTTTACTTCTGTTTTTATGCATCTTCTCCTTTGGTGTGGACCTGTCTCACCCAGATGTTGATAATACTTAATGCTTATTTCAGCCTTCACATCTCACCCAAGTGCCAGAGTCACTTTTCTGTCTATTGAGCTCATAGTTTTCTCCACAAAAATCCACTCTTCTGGATATCATTTTTTCTGAACAGCATCACACCTATTCTCCAAAGTGAGGAGGCTAGAACAAAACTTCAACCTGTCCTAATCTCTCAGCCTCTGAAGCAATTTTGTCACCTACTTCAAATATCTCACCTTTGGAGGGTCTTTGGATGTTGTTCTCTGATTCCCTCTATGATTAATTCTGTCCAGTTTTTAAATTCTCTCTTGTCTGAAATGGAGCAACTACTCCTCCAAAAAGTCTCACTTCTATTCATCCTATCTATGAAGTCTAAAGTTTTTATCTTTAAAAATCAAGGGGAAAAAATGAGAACCAAGACTTGTCATGTAGAGGTACAAGATCCCACAATAAATGTAACTGTACTGTATCCCTAAAATGTACCAATAAACTCAATTAAAGCTGAAAAAAAATCATTCCTGCAGTTGCATTTTAGACCTCAAAAACCTCTAGTTTCTCCAAACTTTAAAAAAGTGTAACATTAGGGTTACCATTTGCAATTGCCTATTATCAAATAAAGACTATCTGTCCCTACTATTTTCTTTCAGCCTATACTAATTACCAAGGAGAGAGAGGTTGGTGGGCGGTCACTCAGTCTAGGATGGTGATGGGCCAGAGTTACTAGTGAGTGAATTTGTCAGTCATAAATGGTTATTGTCTCTATACCCAAGGTTCCAGCAAGCAATGTCCTGTGTTTCACTTCCACTGAACTGGAAAGTGAATAAATTAAAAGTCAGAACCTGGCTTATAAGTTAAACCAAATTTGACTCAAATGTACACAAGCAGGAGGTCTTAAACCTTATATTATAGTGTTTTCTCAAGTAGAGTTTCAAATCAAGAGCTAAAAGAGAACACTGGAAGATCGGTCTCCATCTCTACTCTGTTTCTTTCTCTTAACTTTCTAATGATTCTATCAATCCTATCTAGCTAGCTATTGCATTAATTAATTTTTTGTTCCTATAATTAAATACATGATGGTGGGTAACTTTTAAAGAAAATAAGTTTATGTAGCTCATGGTTTTGGAGGCTGGAAATCTAAACAGCATGGCACCAACTTTGGCAAATTTCTGGTAACTGATGGCATCATGGGAGAAGGGTTGTAAGCAAAAGGGAAACCACATGGTGAAACAGGAATTCAGGGATCAGGCTTACTGTTTTATAGCCACCCTCTTACAAGAACTAGCTAGACTCCCAGAACTACCTACTCCTTTTCTAGGATAGCACTTTGAATGACCTAAAGACCTGCCATACCCCTTAAAAGTCTCACACCTTCTCTCTTACCATTGGCACTCTGTGCTCAAGCTCACTACACACAAACACGAGCCTTTGGGAGTACACACACAGACATCACAATATTCCAATCAATTAGAGAATATATGTATGGCAATGGTCTCATAATATTTAAGAGAGATGAAAACTTCTCATCACCTAGTGCTTTTGTAGCTGCATTAGCGTTACACCACACATTATTTGTGGATTTATAGAAAAGCTGGTGATATACACAAACACACTGCCCTGCCAGCCATATGAAAGAACATACAATTATGTGCAGCACATATTTGATAGTAAGTGACTATGTTGATGGTTTATGTACCTGCTACACTTACATTTTATCATTCTTTTGGAATCTTTCATATAAGTAAAATTTATAAGGCTTCTAAAAAATGGACTTTAAAACTCGACTGGGTTTTACTGTCAGCAGCCTCTGATAGTTTATGTTAATCTCATCTCCTGATTGCACTGAAAGGCCATGATGAAGGGTTGGCCAATACCATCTAGGTTTCTTCACCCGAGGACAAAATCAACTAAGAATGCACCGGGCAGGATGTGTCCCTATTGGTAAATGTTACATTACTGTTTATGGATATATACATACATGTAAGGGGTGTGATCCAAAAACATGGCACTTGTATACATTTCAAATATTGATCACAGTAAAAAACATCTTCACCATTAATCTCCCTCGACATACTCCCCTTGCTTGTCACACCCTCATTTTACTCCTCTTGCTACACTCTGAAGGAGCGCTAGAGGTCTACAATTGTAAGTGTCTTTAGTTCTGCTATTGTGGCTGCCTTGATGCTCTGAATCGGTTCAAAATACTTATATTTCAGGGTCATTTTGACCTTGAGGAAGAGCCAGAAGTCACATGGTGCCTGATCAGATGAATAAAGCAGATAAGGACATGCTGTCTCGGTTGTACGATCCTTCCTTTCTGTTGGATGCACCGTCAGCAGCATTCACCATATTATGTTTTACCACACCCTGTAAAGATACTCATAAAAGAGGAAAGCCAAAACAGTTTCAAAAAGTGGCAAGAAGAACAGGGTAAGTGTGATACATTTTGAGTAGGGTTAATGGCAATATGCCTTTTAATGTAATAAATTTAAAAAATTTAAATACCATTCACAGCAATTTTCAGTCTCCCCTTGTATGTATATAATGTGACTATACATATACTTTTGGATATTGCCCTTGTACTACTGTGTTTTGGTCAGAAATCACAGAGAAGGGAAAAACTGCAAAGGAAAAATTTTTTCATCTCTATTTTTTAGCACTATAAATTAAAAACAGAATCTAGATTTTGTGAAACCACATGCTTGGGTTAATTTGAGGGTCTTTGTTAAGAAAATGATCACAAAATTATAAATACAAAATCATTATAATTTACAAATTTCAAAAATCTGACACCACAGAAATAAAAAGTCTAGAATGTTATCATATATTTATTTTTATTTTTTTGGTACCGGGAATTGAACTCAGGATCCTGTCCCTGTGAGGCAGGCGGCAGCACCACTGAGCTAAATTTCCAGCCCCTAGAATGTTATTTTTTATTAACTACTGTCTTATGCATTTTTAGTACCACTTTTGCTAATGATTGGGGCTGCAAACTCTGGTCCTTCACCTACAGTATTTTTAATATTTTCTGTAGAATAGCAAATTATTAACTACATTAGATTTAATAGCGGAATTCCTTCAAGCATGACTAATCTAGATTTTTTTGTTGTTGTTGCTGATATAAAAATTTCTCTCAGCTTAACTACTCAGTTAAGACATTTCTGTACAGTGTGTTTGGTTCTGCACATGTGCTCTCTAGCTCAGCAGAAAGCCCAGGGAGCACCCCACTCTTTTGCTCACCCTAGTCTTGTAAAGCTCAGGCATGTTCTCATGAGCCTGACCACCGCCCCCCCACGTTCATACTGTCCCACCGTAATAATCCTGAGAATGAGGGGACAAATTACTGCAACAGGATACAGAGTAGCAGTAGTTCCTTGGGCTCTACCATACAGTTGAAGTGCTCAGAGATACAAAGTGGGCAGGGCAAAGATGGGCGTCCAGGCAGAGGTAGACGTCACGCCAAGAGGCCCCAGTCCCAACTACAGAGATAGGAACACCATGATGGCCAGGGCTCCGCCTTCAGTTCCCTGGCTTTCATGAGGATCCCTACTTCTTTGAAGAGCACATTACCAGATAGAAGGGGCATATCTAAGCAGAAGTCCTGAAACTTAGGATTCATCTATTCCTAGATTTACTCCTCAACAAATATTTTCCTGATCGTGCTTTTCAAGCATTGTTTCTTTTTACTTAAAGTCTCTCCTTCCTTTTCACTATATACCCTACCCCATTCCGTTGTTCCACAGGCCACTAAACTGTGGCAAACGCTCTAGAGACCCGTGCCGGAATTAGAATCACAGCCTGTCGTATTTTATGCATGCCTTTTATTAACACATTCACCATAGTGTATTACAGCAGGTGTCCTTCGATGTCTACCTTCTCACACTGCGATGTAAGGACAGGTACACTCTGTCCGTCCATTTTCTATCCCTTCTTTACTATCGGTTCTGTCACATAGTAGACATTCAACGACGACTGCTGCAAGAATGACTGAAAATGTCTGAGTCTCCAGAATTACTTCATCATTTCCAGCATCTGATACACGTCAAGTTTTTAACAAGTTTTGTAGCAAGAATCTTTTTTTTTTTTTTTAACATTAACAACCAAGCAACTTTATACCGGAAGCAAGAGTCTAACAGAGAGCTGACATGAACGCAGTGACAGAGGAGCGCCCCGCCTGGAGGCCCGGGGACAGCCCGTACTCAGCCGTCCTTGTCCTCCTTGCCCCCGTCGTCCAGGCTGAGCTTGCCGAAGAGGACGTCGAGCAGGCCGTCCCGCCGGGGCCCGACCCTGCGCAGGTTGCTGAGGTAGCAGCTCAGCTCCCTCAGCACCAGGACCTGCGGCTGCAGGTAGGTGCGCACCAGGAAGTCGCACAGGCTGGGGTCCCCACGGCCGGCGGCCAGGCGGTGCAGCTCCTGCAGGCTGCGGTACAGGGTGTCCTCCAGGTGGTAGGCGCACTCCACGGCCTGGGCGCTGCCGTGCCAGTCGTCTCTGTCCGGCTTGGCGATGTCGCGAAGGGCCACGCTTCCGCCGCGCTCGTTCAGCATCCACATGAGCTTCTCGGCCAGCTGCCTCCACTGGTGCGAGCGGCGCAGGAAAAAGCCCGACAGGGACTTGAGGGCCACGTCCAGGCGGCCGCAGTACATGGCCATGGACAGGTAGACATAGGAGGCGTAGAGCTGCAGCTGAATCTGCAGGTTCACCGCGGCCTCGCACTCGGCGTGGTAACTCTGGCCGAGCAGAGGCGGCGTTGGTGAGGTCATCGGCGGCGGGGCGGCGGCCATGGCGGCCGTCAGGAGACTCAAGGCGGCCAAGGCGGTGGCAAGGGGAGCCAAGCGGAGGGGGCGGCGGCGGCGGCGGCGTCTACAGAGGAGGCGTTGTCCTCGTGTTCCCCCCAGAGCGACTGAGGACGGCTGGCTCCGGGCAGAGGCTGAGGGGAAGTGAGGCTGAGTGGAGGTGAGGCTGAGGCACGATGGGAATAGAAGGTTCCAGAAGTGGTGGGGCCAGGGGAGGAAGGTTCCAGAAGCAACCTGGCCGGAAATGTAGTCCCGGAAATGTAGTCCCGGAAATGTAGTCCTGGAAACAGGCCGGGTGGAAGTGGAAGGCCATAAATGTTTGGTACCGGAACTACACAGGCTGAACAAAGAGTGTGGGGATGGTTCCCAGGGGGGATTCTCTGAGGGCTGGGTTCAGGGTTCAGCAGTCAGCAGTCAGTGGCACAAGCCCAGAGTTCGCTGAGCAACCTGGGCAACTCTGCTTTATCTAACTATACCATATTTTGAAAGGTTATGAACACAGTGTAATTTTTTTTAATCACTTGGATGGTTTAAGTAACTTACTTGAATATTGTCCAAATGCAGCCGATTCATTCAGTGTAGTGGTTTTGATGGTATATTTAGTATCGTAAAGCATTATTTGAATAGCAGTTCCCCTCAGTGACAAATACATGACTCCTCTGAGGAAGGAATCAAGGTCGGGACACTTGTTCCATAGTTACCAGTATGTGTGTCTTCAAACCTTTGTTCTCCCCACAACCTATTCTCCTGACTGTATGGGTTACTTTAACCTCAGAACCATTGTTTTCTAAGTCTTCTCAAGCCATTCCTCTCCTCTGCTCTTAGTTTTAGATTCTACCGATTTTACTACTGCCACCTCTGCGATATGTCACTGCTGTTGCATTTTCATTGCCGTTACCAAAAGGACTATACAAACCTGTCTCCTGCTTTATAAGGTTATCATACTAGGGGCCCTTTGAGCACTCTTACAGTATTAGCCTCTGTTTAATGCCCTTTAGTGACTTCATGAACACCCTGGAGAAAGCCAAAGTTCTTAGCTTGGTATTCGAGCTATATCTTCCCCACCCAAAGTTCTGATAAAGCAGACTTCCACTCCTTCTGATGCCCCATGTGGCCAACCTTCCATACCTTGGCAGGCTCTATATTTTTGTATCAAGCGCCCTCGTCTTCCTTTCCACCCAGAAAATGTCATACATCCTTGCAAGCTCAGCATCAGCACCTCTCTATGAAAATTCTCCTGCTCTGTTCAAGGAGAATCTAACTTCTTGTGTCACCACTATAATTTCAACCTACCTCTATTGTATCATTTATTGTACTGTATTATTTTTGTTTGGTAAAGTCTACTCTATTAGAATATGAGCTCCACAAGGGCAGGAATAAAATCTGTGTTCATTTTGGCATCTCTGTAGCTTGCTATCTCTATGTAGCATATAAGCATTTAATAAATATTTGTTGACTAAATTCCTTTTAAAGTGACAACTTTATTTTATTAGAAGTCACACCTTTACTTCCTTCACTTTGCAGCAAGGATCATTAGACCTCAAAGATTTGGAGACTTTTGGGGATCAAAAAATATGAAATTGTATTCAGTTATTAGATTACTAGAATTTCAAAGAAAAAAATCATCCCTTGGCATTTTCTTTCAGTATCTAACACATAACTGACAGTGAAATCTGGATTCATGATTAGTAAAGGAACACTGGTGTAGAAAGGATAACATTTATCACATAAACATTGGATACTAAGGGCTGTTCTATGCATTTCACATGAAATAATTTACCTAATCCTTACAGGGTTCCTATAAACAAGGATGTTATCCTTCTTCTAAAAACAAAAGACATTTAACTAAGGCTAGGTTGTAAAAATGGCCCAATCATATGGACATCAAGTGGAAGAAACAGGATACTAGTAGGCTGAATCCAAACATACTACGCTTAACCACTGCACTGTCTTGTAAGAAATCAATATTCAGTGGTCTGGGTCAGTACATAATTCACTTTTACTGCTTCCAGCGATGGTTGAGTGTGCTCTGTAACTTTATTTAAGTCACATACTATAAAATATCAGTCAACTGGAAAGCCCAAAGCATCTAGCTAATTGAATTTTTTGATTAACATTTTAGCAGTCATTCCCTCGCCTTAGTAAATGGAGAATATAAAATGCAACCAAATCCTTATATTCAAATTTAGAATCTCCCAGGTTCTTAATGACACACTTTTGAATATTAGTAGTTATTGTTGCACTCATGGCTGCAGGAAAACTGAAACGTATACTTGGACATTAGACAAAATGCAAAAAGGATGGGGTGCACTTAGAATAGATGATCCAGGAGGCTGTAGCTTCTGAAAAGTGTCACACACAAAGTGCCCTGCTCATCTCAGACATGAGAAGAGTTGGGATATTGATTAACTTAATTAGAACATATTAGTATTATTGGTCCAATGAATGTTCTTCTTTTAGGCCTAGTTATTTACTTGCTCATTTGCTTCCTAAATCATTTTGTTGCTTTTTCCTTCATTTCCTGTTCTCATCCTGTCCACCACAGCAGCATTCTAATGTGCTTAATGCATATTATTCTTTTTAGTTCCTCTTGAAAAAAACATAGCAGTACTCTTTTCCACATGTATTTTAAATTCACCTAAAAGTTACTTTATTTACTGGCTTGTTCCTTTTACTCAGCATCGTGCATTGGAGGCTTGTCCGTGTTGCTCAGTACAACAATCCTGTACCTACAGAGTCTGTACCTACCGAGCCACTTGCACCCAGTTTTTGTTGACTCACTAATGAATCCACAATATCTAGCACAGAACATATTATATATTGCACAATGATGCACTTTATTTTTCTTCAAATTGTCGGATATCTAATATTTATTGAATGGATGAACGAATGAATGCAAGGTTGCAGAAGGAATAACTGTCCTAACCCAGAGAGCTGACATTTTAGGGATGGGAGAGAGGAAGTTAAACACCAGTGGAAATTAAAATGACAGCACTGAAAGCAATCAAGAAAAATGGTTCAGTACGAATGCCTAATACCTATATCTGCTATGAAAGTAAGGGAGCAAAACAATAAGTATTTGGACATGAATATTTCAAGGAAAATGTTGAAGTACATAGGGGAGTGCCAGAGAGCCTGTGAACCAGCAAAATAAGGATTGCTCCAGAGAAGAATGAAGCACCCTGATCTTCTCACAGGATCAGCTCAGAGCAGAATGCAGTTCCTCCTGCAGGGAAAAGTTAAGCAGGAAGACTCCAGAGATTCCCATTAATGCTGTGTTTGCTATTGGAGTGCAGTCCCTGTGGGGTCTAGTTCAGTTTAGAAAACCTCCTAGAGCCAAAATGGCTATTCCCAAAAAAGGACGCCACATCATGCTACTTTCCCCCCAAGGCTGAAGTTACAACACGGTGCTCTCTTGAAACTAGACAAGCTGACAATGTGTATTCTGTACTGGGAGCCACTAGAGACTCTGTCTGTCCATCTCTGAGGCTGTGCACACTTTGTACCGTGTTCACACACATTGGGGCTCTATTTCCAGCCAAAGTACTTCAGTCCCATAGCCCTAGGAGCACCCTAGGTAGGAAATATTCCACCCTCCATTCCCTAGTGACTGCAGTGCCCCAAGCCCATCTGCTCAGAACTTTAGGTCCAGTGTCCAGGCACTGGAGCCCACTTGGTCCCCCTAACCTCAAAGGACAAGTGGTTCTGCCCAGCAGAAAAGCTGCCCAGATCAGACATGCACAGAGTATACAGACTTACCTTGGACAGGTACTGATCCCGGGGAGCCCCAAGCTGAGCCAGCAGAATGACCACACAGACTTCTGCAGGCTAAGCCACACACACATCCATGAGCATTTCTGACTATGACTACAGCTGAAAAAGCTAGATGGAGACTATACTACTATCCACTCAAAACTAAAGCACAACACCTCCCAGCCAACACCCAAAGACAGGCCTACAGGAGAAGCTTTTCCTTACAAAAATCACTCATAACATTAGAAGGGGCTCCATTCCACCAGATGCACAGATACCAATGCAGAGACACAAGACACATCCAATAAAGCAAGGTACTATTTCAACACCAATAACCACAATAAAGACGGAAATATATGAATTGCCTGAAAAGGAATTCTAAGCAGAAATATTTTTAAAACTTAGCAATATACAAGAGAATACACAGAGACAGTTCAGCAAAATTATAAAAATAATTCATGATGTGAATGAAAACCTGAGAGGATAGCATTTTTTTAAAAAAACCAAACAAAAATCTTGGTGCTGAATAAGTCAGTGAATGAAATTAAAAATTACAGGGCTGGGGATTTAGCTCAGTGGTTCTGCTGTCTGCCTCACAAGCACAAGGACCCCAATTCGATCCCCAGTACCAAAAAAAAAAATTACAGTTGGGAGGTGCAATAGCAGATTTAATCAAACAGAAGAAACTCTGAGCTTGAATTCAGGTCTTTGGAAATGACCTAGTCAGAGGAAAAGTAGGACTGAAAATAGCTAAAAATACTTATGGAGCACAGGTCTATCATTAGGCAAACAAATATTTGCATTAAGAAAGTTTCATAGTGAGGAAAAAGGCAAAGAAATATTATCTAATAAAATAATACTGGAAATTTTCCTAACTCATATAGAAGATAAGGACTTCCAGTTTTGTGAAATTAACAGAAATGACACCAATAGACGGACATGTGTGTGTTCTTCTGAGAAGCAAGATGAAGGTTAAGGGCCTAGAACACTTATCCAATGATGTGATACCAGAAAACTTCCCTAATCTTGGGAAAAATATAGCCATCTCTACACAGGAAGCTTATCAAATCCCCAAAAGATCTGAGAAAATCCAGAATAAATGAAAAAAGATTCTGGACACGGGAAAAAAAGTAAAAATGGTGGCAAGGTTGCAAGGCAAGATGTGGAGTAAACAGATCCTTTCAACATGATTAATGAGGAAGCAAATTAGTGTAGTCATTATGGAAACAGTATGG